GATCACTAGGCTTCGGGTCTAATTTTAGATACTAATTCATTATTTCATAATTGGTTTATCTAGGCATTACTGCTCGCATCTAATATTAACTTGCTGACCCATTATGCAAAAGGTACGCTCTTACTATTTATTTAAACTTGAGCTGCTTATAAAACTACTATTTCAACCTTTCCTTCACAGTACTTTACGCTATCGCTTATGTATTATATTTAGCCTTAGAGGAAGGTTCCCCTTATATTCAAACAGGTTATTGCCCGTTTTACTTATTTAATATATCAGTGGTTAGAGCTTTGTTTTCCCTAGCTTTTTTTTTTTATCTCCAATATGGAGTAAAAAAAAAAATAAAGAAGCAAACATGTCATTATCCTAGTAATGCTAATAATTTTTTTTACAATATATAAATATATATATTCTGATATTTTATAGGCTGTTCTACTTTCATTCACACTAATCATAGAATCTCGTTTGATTTCTTTTCCTGAAGTTACTAAGATATTTCAATTCACTTCGTTTATTATTGAATTTCTCTAAGAGTACATGTGCTACAATTAATATTAATTAAATACACAAATTAAAAAAAAACTCTCTTTAATACATAGCAAGATATTCCTAATAGTTTCTTTATATACTTGCCTATACAAAAAATATTCCCTTGTATAGAAACATTGTTTGATATCTATCACATTACTAATAATAATCCATATTATTAGCAATATATTTCGGGTTATTATGATTCGAACATAACAATTCCTCAACCCAAATGAGGCGCCTAACCAACCTGGCTCTAACCCGTATTTTTTTTTTTTTTAGTACAGAGAATATCCGATTTGAACGGATGTGATTTATTAAATCTAATAAGTTTCAAGCTTACCGCCTTAAACCACTCGGCCAATTCTCTTTATAACGGCATATAGTTATATATTAGCTACTAACTAGTTAACAATAATAAGTTAAAGATTAAATTTAAGATATTATTCAGCATAATATAATTAAGCGTAATGCACTTAAAATGATTCCTCAGAGACTTGAACTCCGAACATATCCTTATCAAGAATACGCTTTACCAATTAAGCTAAGGAACCTATTACCTTAAAATTATATAAATAAGGTTAATTAACCTTATTTATATAACCTGTTATATTAAGGGCTTTAATTTATATTATATAACATCAATCTCCTCCTTATAATAGTAAGAGGTAATATTTAGAATATTTATACAACAACTAATTAAAGAATATGTTAGGATAAACAAAAACTTAAACAACCTGTTTGGCAAAGAATGAAATTAAAGATCATATATTTACAATTATAGATATTACAAGTTTTTGTCCCAAAAACTTGTTTTGGGGGCACAAACATGTTTGCACCCCTGCAAACAAGTAAAAATAAAGAGCTAATTAATAAACATATAGTTCAAATATATTAAGAATAAAACATAATAATCTTAAATTTAAAGTTAAAACTAAATATATGTAAAAATAACTTTGCAATTGGCTCATTAATTAATAAGGAAATTAATTTATATCGTAAAATATACTTGGCATTTCATTTGTAAATTGATAGTTAAAGTAAAAGAAGGCGAAATAGAAGCAGATATAGTAGAAGTAGGAAGAGTATAAGCAGCAGATGTAGTAGAAGTAGATTTAGTTTATGCAGTACAAAAAGTAGACGCAGTATAGTATCATGGTCTCTATAAGTGCTTGCTTCTGCATCCACAATTTATCCTAATCTTGCTATAAGTCTTCTTTTTATTACTTCAATACAACATAGTGAAATATTTACAACACGCATGTATCAAGAGCACTCAGATTTGAACTGAGAAGGTGAAGTTTGAAGCTTCAAATTTTACCATTAAACTATGCTCTTTATATTTTAATATTAAAGTATACTGTTTATAACTTATATTATATCGGAAAAGAGATGATTCGAACATCCAGGTGTAGAACACAATATTTAGCAAATATCTCGTTTTACCAATAACAACTTTTCCTAAATACTTTTAATTATTCTAAAGTATACGGGTTAAACCGGTCTCGATCCGATATACACTTCTATGACAAAGAAGGTTCTTACCAATTAGAATATTAACCCTTACGGCCAGCCGAAATCGAATCGACACAAATCGTTTGGAAGACGAAAGGTCTACCATTAACCTATGGCCGTTTATATTTAATTCTAAAAATAACCCAAAAAATAGTTTTTAAATTTAAGACCTATGGGATTCGAACCCATATAACAAAGATTAAAAGTCTCGTATTTTACCCTTAAATTAATATATTGTTTATTATTTTTTTTAGTATATTATCCTAAATTATCCTAAACGAAAAAAAAAAAAAAATATATTACTTAGAATAAGCTTAGTAATATATTATTCTTATCCAAGACTCGAACTTAGATCTAGATATTAGAAGTATCCTGCTCTACCATTGAGCTAATAAGAGTTAATAAACATTACACAAATGCAATGTTTATTAAAACAGTATTTAATACTTAATCAGGTTATAAGAAAAATTGACCTCAAGTAATTAAAAATAAAAATTAATATTAAATATTTTTTTAAGCTACGTATAATAATAAAAATGCCATCATAAGGGTAAATAAATTATTTTAGCTAAAGAAATGTATAATGACATATTTATCTGATGGCATTTTTATTATTTACTATATATTACTAATAAACATTAGAACTAATATTATATAAATTTAGTAATAAATTTAAAAATTAGCGCTGCTTACTATATAGGTAAGATAGAATTGAGAGTTGAAAATAAATTTAACACAGCTTCAGAATTAAACTTATAAAGTAGTCATAGCCGCGTGGCATTCTTATCAGCTCTACCGTAAAAAAACGCCCTTCCCCCCTATTTTTTTTCCCTTTTTTTATTATTATATGATACTATTCACGTAATAAGATAATATTTATAACTAAAAAAAAGGGAAAAAATAAAGCAATCTTGCTTCGCACAGGGGACAGGATAAACTACCATCAATTTTTACTGCTATGACAATATTACTGAGCAGGATTAATAAAAAAAAAAGGCGCTTAAGAAAAAAAAAAATTTTTTTTTTACAATCTTAAGTCTTCAAGGTATCCTTCAAGACCAGGGTACTTCAATCTCCCAAGTATTTATAATACTGAAGGTATTTAAATAGGTGGTATTTATATTAAGGAATTTAATATATGAGGATTATAATTATTATAAATAATTTTTATTATTGCAATATAAGATAAAAATGCCACCATAAGGACAAATAAACCAGTTGATTCGGCAAAAACAAATAATTAAATTTATTAAAATTTATAGATAACATATGTTATCTATAAACAGAGATATGGAGGAATTGAACCCCTAATTTAAGATCTGCAATCAAAACATAGAACCATCTACAGCATATCCCTTAACATGTACTTTATTATTTTGGCTGTAAAAGAAATCTTCTCCCCCATATTTTTTTTTTGTCATGATCAAATGGTAAGCTAGCGGCTAACCTCCAGTAATTATTAATTCGAAAATATATTAAAAATTATTAAAGATCTGCTTATTAATAAATATGTAGAACGTACATAGAAGAAATTATAGGTATAAAGTAGTTTAGGAGAAAAAGAAACGGAACATTATCCAATAATATAGTTAGAATAGGAATACTTAATGATACTATTAGAATAAAAACGCTTGAATAGACAATTAATTGGCCAAAAATAGGTTTTATATCTGAAACATTAAAAGGTATAAGGACATGAGGAAAAAGAAAACAAGTACCGATTAGGATCCGAAAGATTTTCAATTAATAATTATCAATATTTACGATTAATATACCTGCCCATCCCCCCTGCTTTGCTGGGGGAAGGGGAAAGGAAGTTGGTTAGAGTATCCGGAAACAGGGTAGGTCTAGTAAGTAGTCTAAATAGGTGGGCGTACAAAAATAAAAAAAAAAAAAATATCTTCCCCCTACCCCCTACCCCCTGTTCTCCCTTCGGGAGATGAGGGGGGGTTGGAGGGGGATATCCCTCTCCGGGGAAGATTTAATCTTGCTATTAAGTCTTATTCATATATATATATGAATAAGACTTAAGCCATATTAGATCATATTACTAATAAAACCACTCTTCCCCCGCGCGCGGGGTGAATAATAATATTATTCTATAATAATATTATTCTATAATATTAAAAAAGTGTATTTGTTATAAATTAATAATTATAATTATATAATAAAAGTATACTATTATTTATACTTAGACTCCTTACTAGGCAAATTGGATAAGAGATAAGCAAAAAGTATATGCTTTTTATAACCAAATAATAAAGATAAAAAGTTTATTTTTATATTAATTATTAGTATTAAATATAACATTCTTGCTTATTCAATAAAACATATATGTTTATTTTGGCGTACATATTTACTAAGCTAGCTAGTTAAAGAAGTAAGAGGGCTTTATCACAAATTAGTACCTACACGTATATAGAGCCAGTCTTAATTTATGCTTTCTCCCGGGTTTTCCTTATAGTTAGCGGGTTTAACCCCAAAATACTTCTAAGGGATAAGCTACGTAGCTATAACTAATTAGTAGTTTACTGAACTCTGGGGCTCCGCCCAAAAGAAAAAGGAATAAAGGTAAATATTATTTAAGAGAGTATCATCTTTTCTATATACCTGCTCTTTGTCTGAGTCTCCTTTTTATATAAAACATTATACACCCTCTAAGTATAAGTCTCTGGCATCTTCTCTAATTTTCTGCCATATATCTTCCTCTTCACTTGGACATATAATAAGCTAAGTAAGAACTTCGTAGAAACATACAGCTATTAAAATAATACCGTAAATATTAATGAAATAATATAAATAAGGATATTTATTTTAATATTCTTTATATACTATGAACCCCAGTAGTATATAGAAATATATAAGAAAAGTCATACTACATCCACAAAATGTCAATATAGTATACTTGCCTCCATTCCCAGATGATGGTTATCTGTGGAATGGTAAGCCAAAACACGTCATAAACCCACAGCTATGAAAGCTGTACCGATCATAACATGTACAAATGTTTCAATAACCCACGTTATTGTTTAGACTATGTATTCATATTAATTTAATTAAACTTATATATTGTCGAAGTTTAACATTTCATATGTAGAGTTTAATGCCATTCTTTCACTTTAAAATTTAAAGTAACATAATATTTGTTAGCTAGTCGTTGAACCTGTATATATTGCCTAACAATATACACTTGGCAGCAAATTATCTTAATATCTAATAAGACTTTCTTGCTATTGACTCTATTTTCAAAAATAAGTCTATATATTAACTTAAAACAAACTTATAACCTTTATATGATTCACCTGAACTTAAACATTGTTTAATTTTATTCCTTCCTATCTTTAGATTTTTAGCACAATCAGATAAACTAGAATAAATAGTATTATTACCACTAGTATCTATAACAATAAGATTTATACCTTCACTTACTAATTTATCAGTATTTCTATAATATCTAACTCCCTGTTTAATTTCATAGGGACTGTCTATTAAATAAAGTTTAGATAATAGATTTTCTATTTCATAAATGGAAATACGTTGCACATTATCAAGTAAAGAAATATTAGTTGTCATTCTATACTTGTTAATATGTAATTTAATTGCATCAAATACATGTTTACCTTCAGGTATAGTATGATAACCTTTATAATAAATATTAATTAAATTTAATCATAAGGAGAAATCTTCAGACTTTAAAGTTTTTAAAAGAATAGTATTATTATCATATATTAATGGTATTAACACTTCTTTAAGTTCTTTTATTTTATTAACTTCTAATACTATAGTAGGGTTATTATTAAATCTGTCTATTCTCTGAGAAATTAACATATTACCTACATTAAGGAACTCCTTAATTTTATTAAATAATTCTAACTCCTTAATATGATTTTCTAATTTAAATCTAGGTACAAACTTATTAGTTGAAAATGACCCTTCTCCATCAATAAAACCTGCTAATCAAAATTTAGTAATTTTAATTTTACTGTTAATAGAACTTGGTACTCATTGACCAGACATATTACTCATTTGGTTTTTACATTTAATTATTTCTAATTTACCTTTATCAGATAAATGACTTTTATCTTTTAGTAAAGTAACTGCCTTTTTAAATATTACAAAATGATGATACTTTGAACTATTAAGATTCACGAAGTCAAATATAGGTAATATTACATGTAATAAAGAATTCTGATCATTTATAAAAAAATTTATTCTATCTTTTGATTTTGAAATATGTCCACATTTTAAATTATTCATAATATAGTTTAATACTGGTTCATCATCCTTATGTAAACCTATTTGAAATGTAAATTGTACATTCTTAAAAGTACTTTCAGTTAGCCCTGTAATTTTAATATTAAAATTAGCTTCTGCATCTGTAAATCCTGCAAATCATTCTAAAAAACTAGTTTGTAAATAATATGAATTAGCTTCTTTATCTCTATAAGAAGGAATAGTGATTAATAATTTATTGGTTCTTCCAACATTAGTGTGAAACTGAGAATTTTTAAGGTTATAAATTTCTTTTGTTTTAAGTAAAACACAAACAAGTATAAATGGGGCTACACATATGATTAACCCGTGGAATCCTGTTCCGAAATAAAAACATGACCCAAATGCACCATCACTTATAGTGAATGAAGAAACAGTGTATTCTACACCTTGGACAATATTGTTATCATAAGGCGTTTAATCCTTATTTCAATAATTTTCATTATTGTTCAGACTATATAATGCATACAATAATATCGCTATGTGTACACCAAAGTTTTAAAATAAACAAAATAAAAAAAAGCATCCTGTCTAAAGGTCAGTCTCCAGAGTTAAATAAAAACCTGCGGTCCCTTGATAAAACAGAAGTGCTAAATTGTTTTATCCTATTTACGAGTCGTTGAACCTACTTCTTAAATATTATCTGTAATATTTAATAAAAGTTGGCTGCATATTGTCTTGTTATTAGATTAATTAACACTTTACGCTTAAAGTGTATTAGCAACAATTTCAGCGCTCAGAGCTAAAGGTTGCAAGATTTTCATGCAATTTACTTTGTGCATTTGCCTAACTTCGTGCATAAATTTAAGAGCTTACTAACTTATTTATGCATAACTTTAAGCAAAGGCCTATATATATGCTTTTTTCGCGCTGGCTTAGCCAAATACCTACTCATAATTAATTATATATTCTAGAGCTATTCATACCAGATTTTAAAGAATTTATCTTATTAATACCTTCGGGAGTTAAATGACCTTTAACTTCTACAATCTTAGCTACCTCAACAAAATCTAAGTAATCCATATGCTTTATTCCATGTAAGGAACAACTTTGGAAAAAAGGTATCACCTTTTCTTTAATATTACTAAATTTACTTACAGAAAAATTAACTAGATCTGGTCTGGTTGAGGCCCTCTCAATCCTACCACATCCTAAGTAGTCAATGAATTTAGTTAATAAAGCCTCATCTCTTACATGTTGAGATATAGAGAAAACCATAGTAACGTTAAAGCCTGATGAATATCTTTTATTCTTTAATGATTTAACATAAAAAAAACCCTCTCCATCTACAAAACCTGCTAATCAATCTGAATCAGGGATGCCTTGCTCACTTACTACTGGACGAGGAAGAGGCAGGATAGTAGGGAAGTTAATTTTTAATGTGTCAGATAATCCTTTATTCATAGAACCCTTAATACTTAGAATCTCGCGGATTCCCTCAACACTAGATCGTGCTTGGCCTTGTAATAATAAGTTTACAGCTTGTTTAAATAAAAGGTAATCTGCCCTCTTTTGAGTTATTAAAGGATATTTATCAAAATGAGGTATGATGACGTTAGCTAAAGCACGTGCAGATTGAACGCTATAATATGCCTGATCTCTATCTCTACGTTCGCTAACTATACCTATACCGAAAAAGTAATGTATTTTTCTCAGTAATAGCAAGTCCCTGCTATGTAATTTGATTTGAAATTCTGGTACAACGTTTCAACCAGAACGAGTGGTACTACTTTTAGATACTTTTAAACTAAAGCTAGACTCTGCATCCGCAAACCCCGTTACTCAGTAAGGGGAAAGCACCGGTTCTTTTACATCCGCTATGGTTGTATAAAGTCTTTTGGTGCAAAGCGGAAATGCCCGCTTCGTCCCGGTCCCCCCTACAAAGCTGGGGGAAGGAAAAGCTTTTAAGCTAGAGCGAACTCCTGAGCAGGTCTGTTTAGCAATTGTGGCCGAACTATAATAACTACTTAAGGATCATTTGATAAAACCAACACTGAAAAAAAGCATACAACTAATGTTTAAGCCGGTAAATACTAGAGCTAATAGTACTGTAGCTACTAAACCGTCTAAAGCTCCGCTTCTGTTTCCTTGTATTAAAGAATGATGAGCGTATGTTACTGTAACACCGGATGATAATAATATTCAATTCTAATTAACTAGAATAGGAAGGTACTAAACCTAACCTATTCAGGAGTTTTTACCACCGTGCTGTGGCTAACCCGCAATGCGTTGCATGGGTTATCCTTCCTCCTTACTAAATTCGCATTCGTTATAGAACCCGACTGTACATTTGGACAGACATTTCAGCCTAACCCCGGTGAACCAGTCTGTAGCGACATTTACAACTGCCGACGGTCTATGACTTAAATGATATTTTCATTTAATATGCCCCTCGCGAAGCATATAAGGATGTCGTTGACCGTTTTCACCTAATTTTTCTATGAATATGGAACTGTTCGGTTGTAACCTTACCTCAGTTCCTCTTTAACTTTTTTTTTAGTTGGGATAAAATACTGCTATTCTTTTGATTTTATGACCTTTATATTCTATCGGATACTCCTCTAACCTTTCAACATCCATACGTTTTTTTAAAGTATTAAAACCAATACCTATGATTTTGGCTGCTTCAGATAAATTACCCTTTATGGATAGTACACCGGAGGGCTGGATTATTTCATAAATACAGCTACTTGAACGACGATGTATTACTTTTTTTGTCACAATATCTCTTTGACGACCATCGCTAAGATGTTCAATACACGGTGTAGCATTAATAAGGAGATATCTTTCATCTTCACTAAAAGATTCTACTAATCCTGAGTATGTAGATAATCTATAATTATTCATAGTATAAGATAATTTTAAAATTAATGATTTGATTTCTTCTTTTAAATGAGCTCCATTATAGATAGCATTACATATAATTTTTAAATCAAGAAAATCTTGACCTTTTTTGGTTATAAATACTTCACTGCTAAAATAGGGAATTAAATAATTATTTAAAAGATGCACATTCTTAATCATAAGTGTTACAAGAGCTTTACTATTCCCTATAGCTTTTTCAGAGCTTATTGTAATAATCTGTGAGCACTTTAATTTATGAACAGAATAGAAATCAAAATCAAGGTTGTTAATTAAATACTCTTTTATTTTAATTAAAACAGGAAGTTGTTTTTCGGTTAATTTTATAGAAAAGACAGGTTCCATTGTGTTTCTGGCTAAACTAAATGAACCATCTCCCTCTATAAATCCTAATAATCAACTTTTGCTTATGATGATTTGGTGGTTTATGGGCATACTGTAATCTAGACGCTTAGTATTCATCGACGCTTTTAATTCTAATATCTCAGATTTTAATTCTTCCGTGAATTTCTCTCTTTCATCATAAAGAGTAAAAGCTTTTTTAAAACACAGATAATCTAAATATTTATTTGTATTAAGAGTATATTGATCAAAGATAGATATTAATTTATTAATACCATCCCGATTAGACACAATAAATGTTTGTGTATCTTTATATTCATAAACATAGCCAATATCTAAATTATTTTTAATGTAATTTAAAGCATATAGGTCATCCTTGTGTAATCCTATTTTAAATTTAAAAGAGAAACCTTCAAGATTGGCATTTTGATTATTGATAATCGGAGATATACTAAACATAGACTCAGCATCTGAGAACCCTACAAACCATTTGTAGAATTCCTCTCATCCCCCCACCCCCCCTCATCTCCCGAAGGGAGAACAGGGGGGGAGGGGGGAACAAAAGTGTTCAGGATTATTTTCCTTACTATGTGAGCAAGAGACAGCTGAATTTATTAAATTCTTTTTAGCTCCAAAAAGAATTACAGAGTTAGTAATTATATTGGAATTCAAATTATCGCTTACTTCTGTTCCCCCAGAGGGGGAAAAGAATAAGGGATAATTTATTATTGGATTTAAGGTTTCAAGGCAACTAAAATAAAAAGTTAAGTTTTGTTCATAGAGTGGGACTTTCACCCACACAGCAATTAGATCTCAAATTGAGATATTAGCACGATCTACTGTATTAAGTAAAGGTAATTCAAAAGGGTTAACAGCTTCTATACCCATAGGTGGTCATTGAGCACCTAATTCTATAGTTGGTGATAAAGCACTGTGAAAAAACGCTCAAAATATAGCTAAGAAAAATAATGCTTCTGAGACTATAAATAAAGCAACACCCATATTTAATCCTCTTTGTACTGACAGAGTGTGGTTACCTAAGTATGTCAAAAATGCAACCACTTATAAATAAACTAATTGGACTATATCTTAATTAATAGGTTAAATATATTAAGTTAACGTATTAATTTTTAACGTGTAGTCTCTGTAGATCCTACTAGGATATTTATCCATCCGTTGGTTTCCTGCTGATTGTCTAGTTATAACTAGAGTTTCCAGCAATTAGTTAAATTTTAAGAGGGCACATAAATGTAACAATACTGTCTTTATAATTTTTATATAGCTTTTATTTACAATTTTCCTATCAAAGATCTAATCTTTAGTCTACCTTGTTCAGTAAGATGTTCCTTAGAAATAATCATATTGTAGACAATCTCTCATTTATTAAAATCATTAGACTTATTACCCAATAAGGGGTATTTATTAAAATAATCAATAAGAAATTTTACACCATCTATAGATAATACACTTAGAGATAATGCTTCTGAACCTTTATTGTTAGTATAATTTTTAAGGTTACAAGACAAAAATAAAGCTAAACTTTCCATAAAAGGTTTCATAGAAGAAGATGTAGGCTTGTCATATGAACGCTGATCTAATCTAAATTTTAGACTAATATTTTCACTAACAGACCTCTTACGAGTATCTGATTTAGCTTTGCTTTCGACATATTTAATACCAAAATGTCCATCAGCTTCCGTAAAGCCTGTAAATCAACTATTGTTTGTAAAGTCGGAATTATCTAATAAACTTTCTGATATGCCTAAAGAATATTTAACGTTAAATACTTTAATTAGATCATTAAATCTTTTGTTCTTAGGTGTTCTAAGTTTACCATGTATTAAGTTAATAAAAAGCATAATTCCAGCCTTATCTCCAATAATATAACGAAGAATATTTTCACCTGTAATTTGAAAACGTCCCACATTACCTAACTCTGATTGGATAAAGGCGTACATACCTAAATTGTTAATATGTGAAGTAAAAACTATTCTAGGGTTAAGTACTCGGTTTAAAGTTGTATTACCTAAAGCAGGAATAGATATATGTCCATCTCCCTCTAACAGGCCAGCTAAATAATGACATAAATTATTCTTTGTAGCTAGTATAGAATTGTTATTATTAGCTTTATAAATATTTAAAGCTTTCTCTATATCTTTGATAGGGATAGCTTTAGCTATATTCAAATTATCAATAATTCCCCCCCTACCCCCTGTTCTCCCTTCGGGAGATGAGGGGGGGTTGGGGGGTGACAGTATAGTACTTTTGAAAAACATTTTACCCTCTGATATAACGTCTCTTCATCAAAACGACATTGAAGAAACAACAGATATAAAAGCTATAGTTAAAAAATAATTTGCATTACTAAAACCATGCATTGTTAATACTCCAGTAGTTGTTAATGTTAATAGTGCAATACATGTAAATAGAGGTCAAGGTGATGGTGATACCAAATGGAAAGGATGAGCTTGAAAATTACTTCTGGTTAAAATTGTCATTCTTTTATCTTTCTTCATTAATTATTATAATATATAATTATATTATACCATAAAAAAAAAAATTACTCATTTATATATTAAAAAAAAATATTTTTGTGTCTATGTTAAGACATAAAAAAATACACACTAGTCTAATTATAAATTTGTTTTAAATAGTTTCTTTTTTTTTTTTAGGTTCGTAGCTCACATAATATTATATATTTTTTTTTTATTTTTTTTTTATAACAAATACCCTAATTTAGTCCTAATCTTTTAATGGTAGTTAATCGCATCAAATATTAATTATAACCTACATATAGTTTACTTTAAAATTAAAAATAAAATAGGGCAAAATTTACCCCGTCCCCCACCCCCTGGGGGGGAAAAGAAACTTGCTAGAGCTTCCAATATTTTTAAGAAAAAAACATCATATCTAAGTACAGTCTAAAGTTAATACTTTTATACTTAGGCTAAAAGCATTAACTTACCCTTTACCTGGGGCCAGAAGTAAAAAAAATATATATTACAAATAGTCCTCAATAAATAGATAGGTAATACTTAATTTAATATATGTTATATTTTGCACACAATAGTGTATAATTTTAGTTGCAAATTCAACACCTTATTAATCTAACATCTAATACAATTAGTTATATTAATACGGAGTTATGATTAAGAAATGGGTGACTTGAACACCCTACTACCAGTTGTAAGGCGGTCGCTTTACCAGTTAAGCTAATTTCCTTGAGGGCACTGTAACGACAGTGCCTAGTGGCATAGTTTTAGGGTATTTAACACTCTTTTATACTAAGAGAATCTACCTTAGATACTTAATTATTATTCACCAATTTAATTGAAAAAAATGTTAATATAGCGGTTTTATCTGATCCCTGAACAGGGATCAGGAGTAAGGGCAAGATTATAGTTAAAGTTACTCTAGATTAAAAAAAAAATAGGTCTTAATTTTACTACTAATCCTTAAAAAAATTTTATTTTACTTTCACTTAAATAAAATTTTATACTAGGTATTCATACTATTTACTTCTCTTTTAACTTCTCTTTGTTTTATAGTTATAACTATGGCTCCTACCATAGAAAGAAGTAAAATAATAGATGTTAATATTAGTCATATACTATAACTAGTATACATTATATTACCTATGCTTGTTATATGACTAGTTTCTGACAAATTACCGTCTCAAATATTAGTAGTAGTAAAGCTAGTATTAGTAAAATTACTAGTAAAAGATATTATACCATTATTAATATATAATAGTATTATATCTAATATATCATTAAATGTATTACTTATATTTGAAATATAGCTAGTAAAAGGTATAATACTATAGGGTATTGTAGAATGTACAGAAGAATAAAAAGAAATAGAAATAATAATAGCTAAAGGTATACTATTGCTGGTGTCAGTTAATAACTCACTTATTCTAACATTTATTAACATTAAAATAAATAGAAACAGAATAGATACAGCCCCTACGTATACTAATAAATAAGACAGACCAATAAAATTAATACCAAGCATTATAAGATAACAAGAAATACTTAAAAATAAACCAATTAAAAATAATGCGGATACTATAGGATTTTTACTAACAATAACAAGTATTGCACAAAAAATAGCAAATAATGAAGCAACATCCAACATTTCTGCCTTAAAACTATTAGTGAAAGTTTCTCATAAAAGAATTAAATTAATCATAATAAATTATATAAAAATTATACCTCCACTAGACCAGTCCTATATAAAAAAAATCTTTTTTTTTTTACTTTATTTTAAGATTATTAAATTTTGTTTTATCATGGTTAAACTATCTAAAAATTACACCTATAACTGTTCTTTATAAAAAGGAATAAAAATTAAACTATATTAAAGGAGGATAGATTTTCCTGACCTACGGATGAGGCCGAAAAAAAAAATATGTCATACTTTTCTAACTTTTGTCTTTTTATTATTTTTTTTAGTATGACTATAGTTTAAACGCGTACAAGACTTGAACTTGCAATATTTGTGGCTGAAGGACAAGGCTTATACTTAGACTAAATGTTTTCTAATTTTATTTTATAATAAAAACATTAAGCAGATATTAAAAATATCATCTCTTAATATTGCATGATTAGTACGTGTAATTAGTCTACCTTAACAATATTTTAATTTAAAATATTAATCAGATACCTTAAAAAAAAAGATACATAAATTTAAACGCGTACAAGACTTGAACCTGTAATCTTTGTGGCCGAAACACAATGCCTTACCATTTGGCTAACGCGTATTAATACATATACTTTATACATAGCCCTTAAGATGAATCGAACATCTATCAAAATATTAACAGTATTTCGCTCTACCGTTGAGCTATAAAGGCTTGAATACATAAGTATAAAAAAAAAAAAATATCTTCTGCCTTCTAAATTTTGATTAAAAACCTAGCCAAAATAAAGCGGGATATTTTTTTAATAAAAAATTATCCAAGCTTAATATAAGTATAGATACCTCTTATATTTAGTTTAAATTATATATAATTTAATTAAAATATATAGCAAATAATTTTAGATCCTAACTACTAATTTTTTCTTACTCCTTAACTTTATATTTTTTATAAAAAAATATCTCCACAATCCTTTCTCCACGCTATAAAATATCTATATTTTAAGATGCAGGGGGAAATAATAAAGGTATTTTTATATTTAAATCTTTTATTTTTCCATACCCCCTGCTTTGCAGGGTCAGGAACAGCAAGCGTGATGCCAAGAAACGAAAATTTAAGTTGGTCTTCGTGCGTAGAGGTAGTCATTTTCAACCCCCCCCAAGATCTTTCCCTATTACGTATATATTTCAAAGCTTATAAATTTTATATTTAGCATTTAAATATATTTATTAAAATATAAATAATTCTTTATTATATAATAAAAAGTTACTATTAATAGGAAACAAGAGATTCGAACTCTTAAAAGTACAATACTATTGAGTTTACAGCTCAACCCATCTTACCAATTATGGAAGTTTCCTTTAATTAGCATAAATTAATATTTATTACTATAAATTTATACTAAAAAAAAAAATAAAAGAAAAAAAAATTAAAATGTATCCCTTACTAACTAAGAAATAAGGCTAAGTCTTAAATATAAATAAAATTAAGCCACATTTATTATACCAACTTTATACCTTGCTTATATAAGCAATAAAATAAATAATACCTTATTTATTTTATATTAAGTATGAGAATACTAGTAATCTTATTAATGAATTTTTAATAGCACAACTATTTCCCCTTTTATATATTGTTAACCTTAATCAGTTCTAGCCTCGGCTAGGTCTCCCACTTTCTATTTTAGACCAGCCTTATAGGCTTTCGTATTTTTATTATTTAATTTATCTATTACTATAAAATTACTTATGCCTAATGCATTTGCAGCTCTTCTAGCCGAAAGGTATGTAATAATAACTCCACTTATTAAATCTGTAACTATTATAGCTTAGGGTGTTTTAATCGAAGCTAATACCTTAGTATGTGTTTCCACAGTTACTTTGCTTTCACTTCCAGCCATAATTTATTTAAAATTTTTAAACAATTTAGTTATATTTGATGCCAATGCATCTAATCTTTCTTCAAGAGTATCTGATGCATATTCTCTTAATGAAACATCACTTGTATTCTTATTATACAATCTAACTAATCAAGCATTACGTAAATTTAAACGGGTTTCATTATTAGTTATACGACCTAAGCTAGAACCAGCTATAAGACAGATATTGTACTCAGGTTTAAATAAATCTAAGTAGTATTGTTCTCTTTTAATTATATCAGCACTCTCGTTAGATTCTAGAATTTCCAAGGTAAATTTAGAGTAGCCATGTTTTAATAAAGCTCTGTAGATAATGCTTTGGTTTTTAATTACTTCTTTTTCTAAGAACTTAGGAGAAAAATAATCTGGAAGTCTTCTAGTAAAATTCGTACTACTACCTATATAAGAGGCACCACTTATCTTGTTAGTTCAACCATAAACACCGGACCTATTGTTCTTACTGTAAATAGTATTTTTATCATTTAAATCCCAATAAATTTTTGGCACCTTTGCCCAGACACTTTTATTTCTCGCTATCCCCCCCAGGGGGAACAAAAAAGATACAAATTCGCTTTTAATATTTAAGTTTATTCTTTTTTTTTCATGAGCCTATCCTGGATTCGAACCAGATTTAAGAGATCTCTTCCTTACAGAAGAGATCTCTGCTCCAAACCTAGACTTGAGGCAGTATGGCGGAGCCATACTGCCTTTTTTATTGTTAATATTAATTAATCCCGTGCAATTTCCACTACACGAACCATATTTCGACTTAACACCAATTAAAGTCACGCATACGAAAACCTTCCACTATAATAACTAGACCTATTTATCTAGAATTAAATTAGAATAGTTGGCCAAACTTATTGCACATACTTCTTTCGGCGCCTGACGAGTAGTTAGTACCTATCTGAGATTAAATCCACCGTGACGTGGTGATTCACGATTACTAGTAATTCCTTATTCATGTAGTCGAATTTCAGACTACAATCCATGTTTTATCCTACTTTTTGAGATTAGCTCATACTCACGTTATCGCATCTCTTTGTATAGGAATATGTGGCACGTCTATAGCCCACAATATTTAGGCCATGATGATTTGTCTTGGTCCCTGTTATCATTTCCGATGTACTGGTGAACTACTTTATTTATAAATTTTGCAAATAAAGCAAGGGTTTCCGTTAATTTAATGGAATTAACCAATATCTCACGACATTAACTGAAGACAACCGTGCAACGCTTGTAGTATCTTTTCAGGGATACTATACAAATTGTGGTAAGGTTTTTCGCGTAACGACGAATTAAATAACATACTTCACTACTGGTTTCAGAAACGGTCTAATGGTTTCAGTTCCTGCGTTGCCACATTACTCTTGAGGTGGAATGCTTGCACTTTCATTTATAAACTAAAAATATTCTAATCTATGGCATTCATAATTTTCTGCTTGGACTACCAGGGTATCTAATCCTGTTCGCTACCCGAGCCTTCGTCCCTCAACGTCAGTTATTAGATAAAAGGTTGCTTTCGCCATTACCAGTCCTTAAGGTATGACTGAATTTCAACTCTACTCCTTAAATACTCACCTCCTTATATATAACTCTAGTAAAACCGTATCATATTTTAGACTAATTTTACCGTCTAGGTACCCTTTAAACCTATTAAAGATGAATAACACTAGTCTTCTACGTATTACCGCGACTGCTGGCACGTAATTTGGTCAAGACATATAGATAGAAAATAGTCATAATCAGTATTCTATCTAGAACTTTATTCGACAAAATCGATACTATATTTTTTCAATATATAAAATATTTACATTTTTTTAATAAAAACTAAATATAGTTAGCCGGAGCTATACATTCCCCCAAGTTGCTGGTTCAGCCGCTAGGCCATTGACCAATATTCCCCACTGCTGTACTATACGTATTGGGGTTTTTTCAGACCCAATGTGATCGATCGACCTCTCAGTCTCGACTACGGAATTTCAAGCTAGTTAAGTCATTACCTTAACTACTACCTATCCGAAATATTTATTGTCCTCTTAAAGCGGAAATTTACTTCCTTTCTTCTTCATATTTTTATAAGGTATTTTACCTTACTTTAAGGCAGCCAAAATATTAAATACTCACCTGTACACCACTTCTAATTAAATTAGTGACTTAACGCCACACTGTTAAATTAGACGTTCGATTAGCATGTGTCAAGCACTTGGACAGCGTTCATTCAGAGCCACCATCAAACTCAAAAAAAAAATTTGATGGTATATAAATTATATAAAATATATTTTATATACCATTACTAATAAAATATTCACCAATTATTAATTAAATTTAATTAATAATTATATAAATATAATTAACATAAAGTTGTTATTACTTTTTGATACATTTAAGCCGGATCCTGTCTTAGTTATTAAACTAAAATAAGGCTTAACCTAGGCTTGTGGTTTCACAACCTTCTTTTACTGCCTATAATAAAAAGATTTGTATATCTTTTTTATTAATACATATAGTTATAATTATAACTAAAAAAAAAAAAAAAATGGCCTTTATTTTCTCTTTAATACCAAAATTTTTACTTTTACTCTCTTCAATATGAGTTTTAGTTTTACAAGCTTCGGACTTTCCTATACTATACATATATATAGTACCTATACTATATGTAACAAAAAAAAAAGAATATTACTCTAAATTAACACAAACCCTCTATAGCAGATTGTACAAGTAAACTTACAAAAGTATGAGGTTTAAGTGGACTATTTAAAACGGAAAACTTTTTTTTTTTCAATTCATCATTCTATCTTAAACCGATATAGGGGATTAATATTTCAAATGTGACGTAGTGGCTATGGTCACATTCTAGAATCATATACACTTTATTCGTTTTTACCTCCACCCATAGGCAGATAGTAAAGTATATTTTTAGGGACAAAAAAAAAAAGATCCTGTATTTAAGCTTTTAAGGTCTATACAAGCATAATTATTTATTATACTAATTTATTCATCTAAAATAGGACGATTATCCAACGTTTATCTAAAACAATACTGAAATAAAAGCCATCAAACTAAAAATACACTTTTAGCTAAAATACCTCCAATAACAATAAGAGCAAGACAAAAGAAAAACAATAGCAATTTACAAGAAAATTATTTCTTACGGTTTAAATAATACCTTTATTCATAGTTTTAGCCTAATTTAAATTAAAAAGAGCTTAAACCGACATAAAAACTCGAATAGATTCTTCTGATTATTATTTTATACCTCCAACAAATTAACGACGATAGTAGAGAATTAACCCAATCTATTTGATTGGATTACTAATTTAATTTATAAAAAATAATTATAATAAAAATTATTATAATAAGAATTAATTTTTAAAAAAAGTACGCTTGGCTCTTGTACACAATTTTTATTAAATTTAATGTAATTCAAGTAAACCTTCCCTTTGCCATATTGCATTATATTGAAAATATAGACCCCCAGGTTTAGGTGTGGCTACAATATCTGGAAAAGCCTGCTTCAATTCCTCATTATTACCTAGATTTAGGCTGGCTTTAATGGCTAAAAGAGACTGTAAACCTTCGTTTACTAAATGGGCTTTTGGCTTAAATATCTAAAAACCCTTCTTAAACAGAAGGTAATCGGCTAATTTCTGAGTAATTAAACCATAGTTATCAAAATGATTTAAAAGTATAGTTAATTCCTTTTTAGACGTTACAGTGTAACTATAAGAAGATTCCCCGTGTTTGGATATTCTACCAATACCACCAAAATATGCTTTAATTCCTTCCAATAGTTGTAAATCTTTCCTATGAAGAGATATTGAAAAGATAGGTATAATCTCTCAACCTACCCATAGCTTAGAATTTTGTCTAACCTGAAATGAGAAACAACCCAATAAAAAAAGAAAAAAAAATAAATATAAAAATAAATATAAATAAAAAATACATTCTATTCTTTTTTTTTTTTTTATAGCGCGTCTACGAATCCAGTTACAAATCAAGGTTCAAGGTGAATAGCTGAACCTTCATCGTCTTTAATTTCCCCTTTGATTAAACTACCAGTACTATAATTACGACTTCCGCTTATTCCTTGATTGGATTTAGCTAAATAGCTCCTTTTATTATTACCTTAAGTTAATAAGGATGATTTCCTAAGTTTAATATTACTTCCTTGAGGAATTATTAGGGATGCTTTGCAAAGAAGTAGGCATTAATGTAAAAGGAATACTAAGTAAAGTCAATAAAACTAGGTCCATATTTAATTCTAAAAAAATAATTAACAAATATGAAACAAAACCTATTAAAACATATAACGCATAATTTGTAACTACACCTGTACTTAAAGACTCGATATTATTACTTAATATCAGCAGTCCTCTTTCAAGACCGTAAGGACCAACAAGCTCTACACTTCCTTTATCTAAAACCTTAGTTGTTAGACCACCTAGGTGTAACACTTTGTTTGTAATAAAATTATTATAGAACATTTCTACATAGAATCTTTGATTAAAGAACCCATATAAGTTGTAACCAAATCTTGTGAACTTAAATCTCACAATCAATTCCGGGTAAAATTCCGATATGATAATGGCTAATGTACTAAGACATAATGTAAAACCCAAAGGTAAAAGTTTAAAGAAGGTTGGTACAGCAAATTCCGTATCTAGCATAATTTCATGTGTTGGATGAATAAATATAGAATTATCCGTAAAGAAACCAGACCCTAAACCTATAAAAATATCTTTAGTAATATAACCGAAGAATATAGAGAATAAGGCTAAAACTACTAAGGGTAAACTCATAAATAAATTACCTTCGTGTGCATTATTATAATTAGTCACGGGACCTAAAGCCGGCCCTAAAAAAGTAATATATAATACTTTAACACTATATAAAGTCGTAAACATAGCACCAATTGTAGCTATAAAGTAAACAACTGTACCGCTAAAGTAAAACTGTCCATATGCAGATTCTAAAATAAAATCTTTACTATAGAACCCGGTCATAAATGGGAAAGCAACTAAACTAAGGCTTGCTATTAACATCACAGAATAAGTTAAAGGCAAGAAGGGTCTTAACCCACCATATTTTCTAAAATCTTGGTTATCCGCCACTGAATGAATTACAGCCCCGGCACCTAGGAATAGTAATGCTTTGTAAAAAGCGTGATTAACTAAGTGGAATAAGGCAAGGTTATATGACGATAAACCTACTGCTATTACCATCATACCTAATTGGCTCATAGTAGAATAGGCAATAACTTTTTTAATATCTTGTTGGAATAAACCAATAAGACTACTAAATACTGTAGTTATTGCACCTAATCATAAACATAGTATTAATACAGTTGAACTGTATTCGATTAAAGGACTTGTACGCATTAGTAAATATACTCCAGCAGTAACCATAGTAGCTGCGTGGATTAAAGCACTAACAGGTGTAGGACCCTCCATCGCCATCGGCAATCAAACATGTAATCCAACTTGAGAACTTTTAGCCATAGCACCAATTAATAAACAAATACCTATAATTGTAACAATGTTTTCACTAACAAAAGGAGCTAATGAAAATACTGTAGCATAATCTATATTACCAAAACTTCATAATATAGCAAACATACCTACAGTTAAAAAACAATCACCCACTCGGTTAGTTAATAGAGCAGAGATAGAACTTTGATTTGCTGCTATTCTAGTAAATCAGAAACTTACTAAAAGATAACTACAAATTCCAACACCCTCTCAACCTACGAACATTAGTAGGAAATTGTTTGCTGTTACTAGCACAATCATCATGAAAGTGAATAAACTTAAATAACTAAAGAATCGTTGATTATGCTTTTAAGTCAAATTCATCCTGCTACTGGTTTATCGGGTGTTTGACGTTAACAAAGGTTATTAATCTTAAATACTTCTACCTGTGTTCATACCAGATTTTATCTCTCTAATAGATTGTACACCTTCAACCGTAAGATGAGCACGATTAATCATTAAACTATGAATTTTACATCAGTCAAGATAATCATAGAGTTTTATACCTATGATAGGGTTTTTACTGAAGAATGGAACAATTATATTGGTAATATCTGTAAAGTCCACAATTGTAAAACTAACAGCAGACTTACCACCATATTTGTACACCTTTCCAGACCCAAAATATTCAACTAAATTTTCCATCAGTTTAAGATCTCTACTATGTTGAGATATTCTAAATCTCAACTGTACTCGATAACCTAATTTACTGTTCGTGGTTGGAATACGAACGTCAAAATTCCCCTCAGCACTGACAAAACCTGAAATCCAATCCGGGTCTAAAGATACACTACCCGAATTTATAACAGGCCTTTCAACTGGAGTATATCCAGCAAACTCTGACTTTAACATATCAGATAGACCTAAATTCATCGATGCTTTTATATTTACTATTTGATTTAAACCTTCAACAGTAAGATGAGCTTTATTATTTACAAGTTTTACCGCTTGTTTAAATAATAAAAAGTCCGCGGCTTTTTGAGTTAATAACGGATATTTATCTAAATAAAGAATAAGTTTATTCAAATCTTCAATTGAGTCTATTGAATAATTAACTATATCTCGCTTTTTAGCTAAATGAATAGAACCAATACCACCCAAATGTTGTTGTAATAGATATAATACATTAAGATCTTTCGTATGTAAACCTAATTGAAACTTTAATAGTGCACGTCAACCTAATTGACGTGTTTTACTTCTGTCTACCGTTATACCAAACGAACCCTCACCATCTATTAAACCAGATCAGACCCCAGGATTTACTGTGCGAGCATGGGCAGAATCACAGGTAGAGAATTCTTTTAAACCGAATAGTTTAGATGGGACCTTGACATAGGGGTTTCAACCTTGTTGCAGGTTGAAACCGAGCTTTACACCTCTGTTCCTTTCGGAACACCCTAGAGTACACCTTACATTGATAAAATGCGGCTTAATCAATGAACTGCCGTCTACTCTTTGCTCTTTTACAGTAATATTATTTAGTATTACTGGTTTAGATCCGCGATTGTCCATTTCGTTTTCACTCGTCTTAAGGATTATTACCATACCTGAGTAATTATTTCAGCCACTTATAACTTTTCAGTTATAGCTTGGTACCTGAAGCTTTAGGACGTCCCCGGAGTTTGACAATTTACCCCCATAGATGCGTTTTCCCCTGACGCAACCTCGAGGATCATGGCTCATATATCCTATAGAATAAATATGCACTAAAGAAGAAACGATTAAAACCGGTAAAAGCATTGACACTGTTAAACTATCAAAATGGAAACCTCATAAAACATTTAGTGATTCACTATCTATTCATCTAAAAAGGTTTATTGACACAGGTATGTTATTTAAACCTACTTCAAAAAAAGCTACGATTGCTAGTAAGGTTGTTACAATTACACTTGAACATGTAATAAATTGTGCTCCGCTAACTCCGACTTTTCTACCTAAAAATCCGGCAACTATTGATCTAATAAAGGTAAATTTTTACTTATTTTTTTTTTTTTTTTTTTTTTTTTTTTTTTTTTTTTTTTTTTTTTTTTTTTTTTTTTTTTTTTTTTTTTTTTTTTTCAATATAGTCTTAATTTACTATTTTTTTATTTTTGTTAAATTACCATATTAATGGTAATTTCTCTTCAATACATTTGTCTTGATTTCCTGGCAATTTAATATTCTAATTGTAGATTTCTTCATAAGTTTATTGAATTTCCGTATCTAAATAATTAAGTATTAGATTGTAATTACTTTTTTAATTTTGTTTCTAACCTGATTATCATTTTTTAATAATAAATTATAAACGTATCTTTAATATTAAATAGCATTTAAGGTATTGAACTCAATACCTTTTATTAATGTTTTGTCATGTCTAATATCAATGTTGTATTAATAATAAGGTTTATTAGATAAATGATCGAATTTAAGCTATCTAATGTATTTTACTGCATAATAAATTCTTTCTAAACTGCTTTATATTTTATTTAATATATCGTCTACTTCTTTTATTAATTTTAAATGAATAGTTATTAGTATAAATAATTCTTATTAATTTAATAGATTCAATTAATAATATTTAGTTTTAACTTTAAATTAGATTAATGTTTATTCTTTTTAATATATGTTTATTAATAGTTATTATGTTTATCAACTTTTGTAAAATAAAAAACTTGTAAATTATAAGTAAATATAATCTTAATTAAAACATTGTTAATTGTATCTAAATACTTTATTGTTTTTATATAATCTAAAATTACTCACTAATAAGATTGATGTTATATATTAATTAAAGCCTTAAATCTTAATATAGATTAATTAACTATTTATATAATAGTAATTTCTTAGTTTTGTAAAGCTATTCTGATAAAGATATTTATTTAAGTTAGAATATTTAATGCATTCTTAATTATATTAGCTATTATCTTAAATATCTAATTTTATTTAAAAGCTTTAGCTAATTTAATTGTATAAAGATTATGATTAGGCTAGTATATTTATTATATTTAATAATCAATCTTCAATTTAGTTTAATAAATAAAAAAAAGTATTATTATATAGTTATTAGCATCATTCTATTAATAAATTGTTATTACAATAATTTATAGATAACTATAATTATTTAATTATATAAGCATAAATATACAAACTTTCTATATCAATCTATTATGTATAAAAGTAGCAACTATTGATATTTTTTATATTTTTTTTAAGTCTTAGAATTATAAAATTAGCACGTTAACTATAAAATTTTCATTAATAAGATAATAAATTCTATTTCAACTATCAAAAAAGAAAGATAAACTATTCTATTTATTATGTAATATTTAACTATAAGCCATCATACAAATATTATATTTATTATATAATGGCTAAATAATTTATTATTTCTGTAAATGATATTATATTTTTTATAAAGCTTTCATTTTTTTTTATTAACATACTGTAAATAAGAAAATATAAATAGCAGGTAACCTCTAATCTATATATAAAAAAAAACCAAACTAGGATATGACCCACTATTGCATGTACATATAAGACAACCATGATATTTTTTATTAATCTCTTAAGAAGTATTTAAATGATTTTTATTAAGAAACAATGTTTAACATAAAATAAGATACTCTTTTGCTATTAAGGTACATACAACAGAGGAGAAGAATAATTCTCTTTATTAATCTTACTCAATGAAAAATTTAACTATATTAAAACATAAACTTAGTGATAAATAAACTATCTGTATTAATCATAATTTCTATGCTATTTATATATTAATAAAGTTAAAAACATATAATTAATATCTTTATTTAAAAAACAATTTATTATATCAATAATATACATAAGAATGATAAATCAGCACTTAAATATTATAATTGTAGATAATCTATTTAATTACTAAATTAATTTCTCTAGATATTATCACTAATAGGAATAAAATAAAAATATTTAATAATGAACTATAATATATATTTCTAAAAGACATCATAAAATTTTATTATTATTATTAATCTAATTTCTATCAATATAATAAATACTTATATTTATTAATAAGCTTAATATATTTCTATAATAAAAATTTCATTAATATTATACATTATAATTTAAATAAAATAAGTTTATATTAACATAATGTTAATTATATTAGCATAACTTTTAATTATACTTTTATAATTATCTAAAAGACATAAATATTATAAATAGATTATAAAATAAACATTATTTATTCATGTAACTTAACTAATATTTCTATACTAAAGAAACCAAGTTGCTATAAACATTTGATTTACTTAATAATCTATTTATATAAATCGTATTTATCTAAATAATAACTTTTATTACTGCTAATAAATTATACATGCTCCTTTATTTATAATAATTAAATAAGTCATTTAATTAAACATTAAAGCTTGTTAATATTTATTAAAATAATATTATAATTAAATAATTTCTATAAATATTAAACATAATATAACTAATAAAATAATTAATGTAATTAATAGACTATTTCTTATATTTAAATATTAAAACTAGGCTATACTATTATAAGACTTAATTATAATAAATAACATATATATTATATAAAATGTTTATCTTTTATAAAAAAATAATATAATATAAAGTATTCTTTAATCTTATTTTAATTTATACTAAAATATAACATATGTCAGCTATTAAATCTTAGATTCTTAATTATCTAATTATATATTTACTATAAAGATCATTTAATCTAAACTAAGGCATTCATCCTTAAATAATTAATACTTATTCTAAATAGCTTTATCTATATTATATAATTCTGGCATATATAAAATAAATAGCATATACCTTTAGAATTTAAATGCTTAATATTATACTAATAATATATTATAATTAATATCTTATATACACCATTTCTAAGTATTATAATAAAATAAATAAATTACTAGACTTATAAATACTTAAAAAATAAGTGTAGTCTTATCTTTTAAGATATACTATTTAATATAAAAACTATCTAACTTTATAAAATGTACTATATAGTACTATAGTCTATAGTTACTAAATAGATACCAATATTCTAAATAAAAAAAAATCACTAAGTAAAACTTTAATATACATAAAAGCAGAATAATAAAATTAAATCTATAACTATTTAAAAAATAATTAAAAAATACTAATAACTCTCAGTATAAAAAAAAAAAAAAAAAAAAAAAAAAAAAAAAAAAATATTAAATAAAACCTCTTTAACATTTAATGCTGTTTCTGAAAAGCTTTCAGAAACAGCAGTACCAAAAAAAGCCAGGAAGCTGTAATACAAAAGAGAGATAATATCTAGGTAATTTTTAAAAAGATCAATATCCAATAAACTATTAATAAGTATTCTTTATCGGATTTATAACTAGAATACCGTAAATACTTTTAAAAAAAAGTTTGTTTAAAGTAAATACTCCCGTTTACTTATAAATGAAATATTCTTATGTCCACTCTCGAAAATAGACTGTTGTTGTCTACTATCAATTTTTAAAGCATTTTACCTAATTCAAAGGCAAAACCTAATGTTAAGGCTAAAAAGAATATTAACATTATAACTAAACCATATAATAACTACATAAGATAAACTAAAAAAAATCAAATAAAAGAAATAATAAAGCAAAAATAAAGAAGGAGATGCTGAACTGAGTCCGATTTTGACCCAAAAATGAGTGGAACCCACACTCGAACGGTGAATCCTTTTCTTGATAAGGATTGTGTGGAGCAAATAGAAGATTAACAGCTAATAGTATAACTGCTAATATAGGTATAAATACAAAAAAAAAAGTAGTACTTGTCATTTAAGCGTTAAATAATATTAATGCTAATATATTAGCCATACTTAATCATTCTTGTGGGGTAAATATAAATAATAGTATTATTAAGGTTAATACAGAAATTGTTATAGTTAAAGAACTAGATAAAACAATATTGTCTAATTTAAATGTTAATTTTTTAATTAAAACATTATTTTTAATAATACTACCATGTAAGTTTATATTTACTATTTCCGGGTTTATTTTATATTCAGGTTTTTCAAAAAAAACTTGTTTTATTATGTTTAAATAGTATACTGCACTTATTACACTTGTTAATATTCCTACTAATGTAAGGAATACGTAACCACTATCTAAAGCAGCACTTAAAACCATCTGTTTCGCAAAGAATCCTATTAAAGGTGGTATACCCACAAAAGAAAATATTGTAATAGTAAAACTTAAGGCTAAGACTGGGTTTATGTAAAAGTAACCTTGCAGTTGACTAATTAATTGTATAGGTGAGTTATTTTTATCGGCTAATTCTTTATATTCTTCATTATCGTTAACGTAATAGTAAAGAGAAAAACCAATACTTATTAAAATTATGAAGGCATTTAAATTACTAATTGAGTATTGCATTAAGTAAAATATAAAGGCTTGAATAGACTCTATACTGTTAATACTCAATGCTAGTAATATAAAACCTACGTGACTTATAGTACTATAAGCAAATAATCTTTTTATTCTTAACTGTGTTAAACCTACAACTGTACCTATTACTAGTGAAAGTAAAGAGCTAACTAGTAAACCTGTAGTTCAATTGTATTGGAAAGAAAATAGTGAATTACTTGTATAATGTACTAATTCTAAGAAAAATATAAATATAGATATCTTAGCTACTATAGCTACAAATGTTGTAACTATTGTTGGAATAGCGTCATACACATCAGGGCTTCAGAAATGAAAGGGAGCTGCACTTACTTTAAATAAGAACCCTACGCTCATAATTAGTAAAGAAAAATTAATGTAATAAGGTTTATATCAATACAAAATATTCTCTGCGGAAGCATGACCATTGTTTCCTATATCACTTAAACTAGTAATAACGTATATACCATCTAAGATAGTTGTACCCGAATTTGCATATAGCAAGCTAGATCCTAAAAGTATAAAACAAGAGCTTAAACCACCTAATAAAAAGTAGGTCAAACCACCACTTGTGGCTAATTCTGAGTTTCTATATAATGTACTAAGTAAATATAGTCCATAACTTTGCAGCTCTATAGATAAAAAAATAGAAACTAAATCACTAGTTGACACTAAAAATATAGCCCCTGTTATAATAAATAATAATATTAACGAAGTAACTGAATTTATCATACAAATTCTAAATAATTAACTTTTAATCTATGAATACAACTATAACCTTTAAAATCTAACTAAACCAGATTAACCTTTCTATTAACACAATTACCTATTATACATTGCATCTTTAATAGCTTTTACTAATGTAACTCCTTCTGGTGTTAAGTGCATTTTATTTTCTATTAAAATAGACGCTTTTTTAAATCTCTCGAAATCTAATAGTTTTACTCCTGAAAGAGTATAATTTGTTAAGAATGGAATCAGTTTTAGGTTAATATCATCCGACCTGCTGACAATTCATTCAGCTGTTTCACGGTTACTGGCTTCACTGATTCTACCACATTTTAAGTATTTAGCGAGTCTTTCTAGTAACTCTATATCTTTAACATGTTGACTTAAACTAAAAACTAGACTTACTGCGTACCCTGCTTTTCTTTTCTCATTACTATAAAGAGAAATAAAGAAAGACCCTTCTGCAGCTATAAATCCCGATAACCAGTGAGGATTAAAGTCAGAGGATACCTTAAATTCTGGTAGAATAGCAGGGATAATATAAGGAAATTCGGTTTTTATTATACCCGGTAACCCTTTGTTTAAAATAGCCCTTAGTGAGAAGATTTTTAATAAACCTGGCAAGTAATTATGTTCTCCTTTTTCCATAAGAAGAATTATTTTCTTAAATACCAAATAATCTTTTAATTTAGCAGTAGCTAAAGGATATTTGTCAAAATGAGGTAAGATATATTTTATTAAATCTTTTGTAGAACCTACGGTATAATAAATTATCCCCCTTTTACTAGTATAAATCTTACCTACTTTAAAGAAATCTTTAATTTGGACCAAAAGATCTAGATCTTTTTGATCTAACCCTATTGTTAATATGGGTTGAATTTTTCAACCTATACCTGATTTCTTCTTAGCAATGGAAACAGCAAATGAACCATCTCCGTCTATAAACCCTGTTACGAATCAGGGGTTTAAACTAAAACTACCCTTGTCTATAGTAGATAATTTTGGTTGAAGAAGATTTTTTGAATTATTAGTTGTTGAATATAGCCGTTTACTTAGAATTTGGTTAGAAGGGATTCCAGCTCAGGAAATTCTCTCGAACCCTCTTAGAGTATACCTTAAATTCACTGGACATGATCCAATGAATCAACTGCCGTCTACTCGTTGCTCTTTTACAAACATGTAGTTTGATTTAGATCCGCGATTGTCCATTGATCTTTCGACAGAAAAAATAGTATTTTTTCAGCCCTTACGTAATAATCCTAGGTATATAACCGAAATAAATTTGATAGTTAACCTGAGAATACGAAGGGTTATCTTCTGAGTTATTTCCGTACCTGAATAATTAGTTCAGCCACCACGGTATAATTCAACCAGATTTGGAATCAGAAGCTTTAGGAGGTCCCCGGAGTTTGACAGTTTGCCCCATAATATTGACAATGTCCCAGATTGTCGCTCAGGGTATTCTATTATTTTAAATTGCTCTCCCATTTTATTTACTATTTTTGATCTATAGTAAAGAAAGTTATATAATAACAATTTACTTATTGAAGAATATTCAGCTATTCATACTTTTCTTGGATAAAAAGCTGTTAATTGTAATATTGCAGCACTAATTAAAAAGATAAAAATATGAAAAACATGTGTTGTAGTTGTAGCATGGAATAAACCACCATATAAACCTATACCACTATCTAAACAAAAGTATAAGCTATAAAAAGCAATTAAAGAAGAATAGAGTAAAACTGTGATAGCTACTCTACTAAAAAGTATAGATTTGTCTCGTCTTAAAGTAACGGCATTAGATAATAATAAAAATAATATAGAAAAAATTACCATCAAGAGCACTCAGATTTGAACTGAGAAGGTGAAGTTTGAAGCTTCAAATTTTACCATTAAACTATGCTCTTTATATTTTAATATTAAAGTATACTGTTTATAACTTATATTATATCGGAAAAGAGATGATTCGAACATCCAGGTGTAGAACACAATATTTAGCAAATATCTCGTTTTACCAATAACAACTTTTCCTAAATACTTTTAATTATTCTAAAGTATACGGGTTAAACCGGTCTCGATCCGATATACACTTCTATGACAAAGAAGGTTCTTACCAATTAGAATATTAACCCTTACGGCCAGCCGAAATCGAATCGACACAAATCGTTTGGAAGACGAAAGGTCTACCATTAACCTATGGCCGTTTATATTTAATTCTAAAAATAACCCAAAAAATAGTTTTTAAATTTAAGACCTATGGGATTCGAACCCATATAACAAAGATTAAAAGTCTCGTATTTTACCCTTAAACTAAGGTCTCTATATACTTTAAAATATGAAAACTAAACTTTCTTAAAAACCCTCTAACATAGTATATAATTAAAAAAAAGGTGCAGCAATTAAAAGACTTAAATTACTGGTATTAATCTAATTAAATATAACACCATTACTAATAAAATATTCACCCATTATTCGTTAAATTTGTAAAAATAAACCCCAATATTTAAGCTATGGACTTTAAGATGTATGCTTTAGCTTCATTATGTCTTATTCTCTCTCGACTATAACTAGCCAAACAGTATTATAACTTAAAGCAAATTTTATACAATGTTTATTGTAGTAATAAAATTTATTAAAATTTTTTTAATGCTTTTCTAAACTTTCCTTCTTATATGAAAATCAGCTTTTAATTAAATTATGATATTTGTACAGAACTATCATTATAAATAGCCTTTAACCCACTATAAGCACGAAGCATACAAAATATACTAAAACATAATTTTAAATAGTTATCCTTAGCCTCAGGATGGCTTGCTTTATCATCAAACAATCCTGTTATACATTTTTATGGAGAATACCATCGTATAAAAATTATTTAAAAACCCTTTAGTTGGAGATTTAAGTTATAAATCCACAAAAACTAGACTCTTTACTTATTAACTTTTTAACCTCTTCATAACTTCAACCATGCCAGTTTTCATAAACATATTCACATAGGTTAATCCAAATATATTGTTCAATGCTATGTTTTTATATAGTAATTATACCTCCTAAAACTATTTAAATTGACTTATACCTATGTGTTTCTAGCTCTTATTTAGCTCCTGTTTATTTCATACCCCTATACCTTAAAAATAAAATATACCTGTCCCCTTCCCATCCCCAGCTTTGCTGGGGATGGGAAGGTGTATCATAAAATAAATCCCCCTGCTTTGCCAGGATAACTTTTTTTTTTACTAATTAAATGAATTTAATATGAGCAATAACGCTAATATTAATGTTACAATATGACACAGTACAATTGGAATAGTAAACTTTCGCTTGCGTAGGGTCCGAACCGGATCCTTATATTAATCTCACATCGTTAAGGGCTATTGCAGCAATCTACTTTCACTTGACTAAGTATCAAGACTGATCACCTATATTTCTCCTGCTAAATGATCAATTTAATAAAACGGTTGAGCGCGCGTTATTTATCCTATAATAACCAGATAGATAGGGGATAATATGGGGCTATAAATTATATTAACTAAGCTAATATAATGCTTCTCCCCCCATAACTTTCATTTAGGTTTAAACCTGAAAAGACCTATTAATATTAATAGGTAAAAACCAATTTATTATAGATTAATTAACTAGAACATTACTTATCTTTTATATACTAATTTTTCGTAAATCTAGACATATAACATATATCCCTTGTGTAACTGGTATTACCCCCGTAGCAGCTTTAACACCATTTCTTCTGAGAATCTTGTATCTAGAAATACTATAATGCCAAGCAGGGTTTAAATGAATATTTCTATGTATATAACCAATTTCTTTTTTATTTAACTCACCTGCACCTACATGTGAATAAACATCAGGTATTTTATTAATAGATACATTTTTATTATAATCATATTGTATATGAAACTTATTTTCTACACTATTACGTGTGTCTTCACTACCTTCAGGAGCATTGTTTCCTGAATCAGGACCATTACCCCTGAGTTGTTACCCTCAAATCCTGGATTGTTACCATCTGACCCCGAGTTATTACCTCCAAGATTATTACTACTTGAAGACTCTGGGTTTAACATATTATTAATACTCATCATATTTAAATATCCATCTAAAAATACATTACACATTATATGTAAGTCTAAATAAAAGAACACGGAGATAAGAATATTAAATATAAAAAGAAGATTAAATATAAAAAGAATAATAGGCATTACTCAGCTATATTTAAAACAAATTATAATACAATTATATGTAAATCCAAGACATATTTTATATAGCTCGAAGACAAAATCACCAAAACCTTCTAGTGGTGCAAAGCAAGACCTATTAGTTATAAACTTCACACTATAATTATGAAACATAAAAATAAATTAAGATTAATTTATCTAAAAAGCGGGCTATATCTTTATCCTATTTTTAGTTAAATAGTATCTTACGTATAGTCTCTGAGGAGCCCTAATAAATCCCAAAATATAACTTCACATATTATAGATGTATTTAGATTTAAGAATCTCAGAACTTTAGGACTAATTTCGGTTCCCTGCTGATTGCTCCTTAAAATATCCTTAAAATTTTTACTTTGACAAGTCTTTAAGGCATTAGAGGTTTCCAGCATACCATTGCTAAATTCTTCATAAAGTTATAACAAGTAGTTTATACAAAAGAGGAATTTATTTTTTAAATAAATTATGCTTACGCCTCTCTCCTGCTTTGCATAAATACCCTTGCACTGTAAACATGCAGGTAATAAAGTTAACACTGGTGAAACAAGGGGGGCTATTCTTTATTAATAAACCTAAACCTAAACATATAAGGGCCCCTAACCCGCCCTATAACATAGTTATCTCCCTTCAAAATAGCTATCTATCTTTACTCTATAACTCCTGGTTTTAATAGTATTTATTAAAACATGTTTATTTTTTAATTATTTAAATTAAAAATAATTTAAAACATAACTAATAGCTAATTTTAATTTAATGTAAATCTAAAGCATCTTTGATATATGATGAAGATAAAACCACAAATACCTGTGCTTGTATAAAAGCTATTCCCAGCTCAAGACCTGAAAAGGCTATAATGAAAGCTAAAGGTATTAAACCTAAAAAGAAAAAGATTATACCGCTTGTCATTATATTGTATGTGAAACCGGATAAGATATTTAATAACATGTGACCTGATAATATGTTAGCTGCTAATCTTAAACCTAATGAAATATTTCTAGCTAAATATGAAATAAATTCTATTAAAACCAGTAAAGGTAATAATGCTAAAGGACAACCAGCAGGTACTAATAAAGAAAAAAATTCTAAACCATGTTTTTGGAACCCTAATATAGTTGCTCCTAAAACTATAGTAAAACTTAAGGCAAAAGTCAATACAAAGTGACTTGTTGAAGCAAAACTGTATGGACTACCTGATAAGACATATAGACTTAACAAGTTGGACTATATCTTTACTGCTATATCTAAAGATATGAGCAGCATTTCACAGCTAGTCTCTGAGGACCCCTCTTATAATCTAAAAGATTATTTTGGTTTCCTGCTGATTATTCATTGTATCATCTTTAGAATTTTTACGTGTTTTATTTAAATATCGTATCCAAAGCGTTAGAAAGTACCAGCATATAGTGAAATTTAACGTATTATTATTGTATTTATATTACCTAGTCAGGCGAGTATAATTTAGGTTAAGACATAATATAAATTACCCAAGGTTTAACCTACTTATGAAAATAGTACTTTAGTAATTTAATGTATTCTTTTACTATTCATATTACTTTGAATAATTTTTATCTTTTCTACACCCTCCTTACTTAAATGTTCTTTAGATACTATTAAGGAAGCTACCTTTAAAAAATCCAAGTAGTCTTCTTGCTTAGTACCTAATAAAGGATATTTCTTAAATAAAGGTATAATTTTATTATTTATATCCGAAAAAGTTGAAACAATAAATGTTACTTCATTACGACTTGAGTAACATCTACCACAACCTAAATAATTTAAGAAACTATCTATTAATACTGAATCTCTAACATGCTGAGTTATTGTAAACCTTAAACTTATATTATGTGTTGTTTTGTTTTTGGATTCTTGGGCAATAACCATAAAGCATCCCTCACCTTCAACAAACCCTATTAGCCATCAAATATTTTTTATTTGAGTTGGTTTAATCTCAGGTCTTACTGCAGGTATTATGTTAGGAAATGACTCTTTAAATTTTTCGGATAAACCACAATTTAAGACATCTTTTATCCCAACTAATTTAAGTAAACCCCCCTCAGTTAAATGTTCTTTTCTTTCGATTAAAGATATAGATTGTTTAAATAAAAGGAAATCAGCTAATTTATGAGTTATTAAAGGATATTTATCAAAATGATTTAAAATTACTGTTAAATTTTTTAAAGAACTAACACGATAAACGACTGAATCTTTACCGTGTTTGTATATTTTACCTACACCTCATGTTCTTTGTATTGCTTCTAGTATTTTTATATCCTTATTATGCAAAGAAATACTAAAGATAGCTTTAACTTGCCATTTTGTTGACATTCTACTATCTTTAAATATAGAAGTAGTAAAACATCCCTCTGCATCTACAAACCCTGTAATATAATAAGGATTAAGATAGTAAGAATTATTACCCTTTAGATTATAACTAGGCAATACAGGTGTAGTCGTAGAATACACTCTAACGTTGTTATTTTCGCCAGTTTTGTAGGCAAAAAGAAACTCAGGATAAAAAAATTTATTAATAATAATACGTAGGCTCCTGTTAACCATTCCAATTAAGTTATTTACTAAAATAAATATAAATAAAGTGTAAATAAAAGGGAAATAAACTTGTCCTTTTGTAGGATTTATTTGATTTGTTACTATGCTATGTACAGTAGCATATATAGATTCTTGGCTTATTGATCAGTTATTACTTACTATTTTATTGTAGTTAGTTGTTAATACACTTAAAGTTAATATTAATAAACCACCTATTGTTAAATATAATCCTATATTTGTTAAGGATATATGTAAGTTACCTAATATAGGTGCATCTAAACTTAAAAGATTTCTTATTTCAAACTGATCTAAAGGACTAGGTATTTGAGTATAATTTAAATTAAACATTTTTTTTTTTTTTTTTATTAATATTCGAACAAAAGATAAAAAAAAGGATTAAGTATATTGCTTTATCTAATAATACTGCTTTATCTAATAATATTCTTAATAATACAAATGCAAGTACTAATACTATTAATAATATTATGGTTAGAATTAATCTATTTTTAGTGTTAGTATAATTTGCTGTATTATTAGAGTCATTATGAGTACTAGCTGTATTATTGTTATATGATCCGTCTTTATTATTATTACTAGATCCCACATTAGTGTGCGGAGCAAAGAAAAAAAAAATAAGATAGCATTGTTTTAGTAAGATAATAATATTTTCCTTCGCTACTAATCTACACACCACTAGATAATTAAGAAATATAAACATTATAAGTCTTGGCATATACATAAATCTATAATTGGTGGTGAAACAGTTTAGAATTAGATATTATTATTTAAACAAATAGGAGCAGAATATGGAGAGGATGGGGAGGATTAAATATATTGTTTTATCTAATAATATTATGATAGTTTATTAGATATTTTTTTTTAAGATAGCTAACCTAATTTTCCTAATGAAAAAGGAGATAAAGCTTATATTAAGAAAAAGGGATAATAGCATCCTTAAGGTGTAATACTACAAACAAAAAATAACTTATAATTTGCTTATAAAAACACGCGAAATAAATAATCTAACAAATCTAGGTAAAATATATTTTGAAAAGACATATATCATCACTATTAATAAGATAAAGGCAAATGTTACTTGATTTATAAAATAAAAGGGTACTAGTTGTGGCATTTAATTTTTTTTTTACTTTATGGATTATTATTTAAACGAAGACATTAAAAAAAGGAAGAATTGTAGTAGTGAAGCTTGTAAAGGTAGAGTTACAAACCCTTGAGATTTAGATGGACCTGTATAAAATATAATTAAACGAAAGTATTACAAAACAAGTAAGATTAAAAAATACCACAAGGATATTCACATTTCGGATTAGATTAACTAGACATTATTAATAATCTTTCATAATATTTTTTTTTTATGTAATATACTTTTAGTGCTATTACTTAAATTAATGAACTAGAATAATGAGATATTACAAGGAATGATTTAAAAACTATATAATATACAATAAACTAATATAACAAACAAGGCAAAAAGAAAAGCCAAAAATAAAAAGACGAAAATAACCTTTCCCCCCCTATTTTTTTTCCCTTTTTTTTATTATTATATGATATTATTCACGTAATAAGATAATATTTATAACTAAAAAAAAGGGAAAAAAAAAGCAGGGGGGGGGATAGCGTGTTCTGTTATAAAACCACTAACAAGTTCCGATTCAGCCTCGGCTAAATCAAAAGGAATATGCGTTAGTGTTATAAATCCAGCGTGTTATCACTATTATAACTCTTGTTCATTCTACTCTTAAGGTTATTTACCTTTTCTAGCCCTGACGGCGTACGGTGATCACCGTTCAGAAGTAAAACACAGGCTTCACGGAAAAGATCAAAATCTAAGGACTTAACACTTTGCAGCTTATGTTCTAGAAAAAAAGGTATAATCTTAGAAGAAACTGTGTCCAAATTATATACCCTAAAATCTGGGGCTTCGCCCAAAGCAGGTGTAGAATTTCTGTTGTAAACCTTACCACAACCCAAGTACTTTACTATGCTTTCCATTAGTAAAGTATCTCGAGAATGCTGAGTTATTTGAAAAGCAAGCCAAACTTTAGAGCTAGACTCCGTTTTCTGAGTAACTATATGGAAACAACCGTCACCGTCTACGAAACCTACTAATCAATTAGGATCTACAATTTCCCCTGGGGCAAATATGGGTCTAGCTATTCGTTCAATACCTGGGAAAGAATTAATCAAGGACTCGGAAAGTCCTAAGTTTATGGCAGATTTTATACCTATAATTTTAATAACACCCTCTAGGCTAGAGTGTTCTTTAGCTTCCAACATTAAAACAACTTGCTTAAATAATAAAAAATCCCCCAACTTTTGAGTTAATAAGGGGTAAGACTCAAAATGTGGTAATACAACCAAAACTAAATCTTTAACGGATGTTACAGTAAAAACAGCGTCATTTTTGTAGATATTAAGAGCACCGACTCCGAAAAATACAGGTATACGCTTTAAAATGCTTATGTCTCTACCATTCAATTTTATTTGAAATATGGCTTGAATTTTCCAACCTCACTTATTTACACTGGATTTCCTAACCTTAACCGTGAAACATCCCACCTTCGGAGGCATCAGTAAAACCTGTAACTCAATGGGGGTTAAGAGATATACCCGTGTCTACCTTAGATATTCCGTAGATTTAGTTTCTAGTGTAAGTCCCTTGGGTACTAATAAAGGTAAGGCAAATAAAGAAATATTCGTAGGAATAATTTCGAAACTATACAGAATACAAGGAACTAATATCACAAATGCAATAACGATAGGTAGTAAAACAGTTCAACAGAAAGACATTAACTGGTCAAACCGTATTCGTGGGAAGGATGCCCGAACTCAAATAAAAGTAAATATAAGAGCACAAGATTTAAACCCTAAAGAAAGACCATAAAGTAACCCTTCAACTACAGGATTAAGTACTACAGAAGTATCCCTACCGTTATTCGTTAAATTCAATCAAAAGTCGAAATCGAAAAATTGTATTATATAAACTAGAGGCATAATATTGAATAAGTAACCACCTAAAAATAACATACTTGCAACTGTACAAATAAGTACTATACTGGCATACTCAGCTAAGAAAAAAAATACAAAAATTACTGCAGCATGTTCCGTCATAAACCCACTAACTAACTCCGACTCAGCCTCTGCCAGGTCGAAGGGAGGTCTGTTAGTTTCTGCTATAGATCCAATAAAAAATATGATAAATATAGGTAATAAGGGTACTACGAATCATATAGCTCTTTGAGCTTCTATGTTAACCGTAAGATTTAAACTACCTGTTAACATTATTACAAGTAATATAGCAGAACTTAAAATTAATTCATAACTTATTAATTGTGCTGTACTTCTAAGTGAACCCAGGAAAGCATATTTACTATTAGCACTTCCAAAATTATTAACGTAAAAGGTTTTTATCTTTTACTTCTATCTTTAACAAGATAGTTTAGACTATGTCTTAACCTTGTGGTATCTACCTCTTTTTTTTTTTTTTTGTTTTACTCTCCCCTCACCCTAGGAGTCTAATGAAACATAATACCAAAAAGAGTAAATTGAAACCCATAACATAAATGGAACTGTGACTTTTTATTTATTTATTTGATGGACCCTCTAGAGTATAAACACCAAAACCCGTTACTTCACTGCTAAATATAAAGAGATCTTTGTACATTTTTTCTGAATCCAGATATTTGTTAAAGATAGATACCTGAACACCTAAAACTTTAAGAGCTTCCCGCTTAGTTTTGAAAGGTTGGTTAGGTATTAAAGTTAATATATTATTAACACCAACTTTATAAACTCAAAATTCTTGACGAGAGTATGCAGCTTTAGCTGGAGCATTGAGAAGTTCACTTCTTAAATCTGAAGATAATTCTTGACTAAAAATATATATATCTTTTTTGTCTTGTGTTGTAGCTAATTTGGTGTTTAAGTGTCTACTAATTGTACGATAGTTAACCTTAAAATATGCAGCGGCAAGCTGCATACTTGCAAAAGGGGAATGATTAATCAACTCTAGTCTTTGAGCATCATAAGCAAAAATAGCTTGTTTGTTCCCCAATTTAACCGTTTCACTTAATACTTGTAGTTTGGTTATTTCTGGCTCAAGGAGTGGTCTACTAAATAAGTATGTACCTTTTATACCCTCAGCTTTTCATGTGTCTATGAAATAACTAATAACATTACGACTAATACCTATAGAAGCAGACGCCTGCGATTTAGAAAAAAATGGGCTACCCTTTACCAAATCTAAGGTTTTGGCATCATAAACTCAAACTTCTTTAGCTATATTGCTATCAAGATTTAGTACACTTGATGAAGTTTTAACTTGACCAAAGGTCAAGTCTAAGTCTATAATAGGTTTTGAGTAGTACAGTTTTTTTCTAAAGGGTACATTAGTATTTATAAATATAGCTAAAGTACCACCTGCGACTTTTTCTAAATGACTAGCTTTTGTAATACTATCATATTTAACATAGTTTATATCTATACATTTATCATTAATATCATACACATAAACAGGTACAGCTTTACCCTTAATATGAGGATCTGATTTTAATTTAAGTGTAGCTAATTTACTAGTTAAATTTGCGTAAATAGCAGACTCAGAAAAAGCTGAAGAAAAAGTAGTATTCAATAAAGGTAAATACTTTTGTAAGTAATAGTTCTCTCTTGCACCTTGTTCTTCAGGAGTACATACTTCTACAATAGAAAAATTAAAATGTTCCAGACCAACTAAGCTTAAGAATACATGTAGTTTACTACCTGTATCCGCTTTTAGGTGATTATTGAATCTTCTTTTTAATAGAGTAGTTCTACCTATATAATAGATAAGGGGGTTATATTTATATTGTATAATATAAATACAACTTTTTGATCCTCATTCTTTTAAAAAATCAGACTTTTTATCTTTATCTAAACAATGATAACAAGTGGTTATTAAAGTACGATCGAATGGTTTGACGGGAGCATTTCTATCTGTGAAAAGTACCTTTACATAGACAGAATGCAAATTTTTCAAGTCATCTCCTACTATTTTACTAGTATCAAACTCTACTCGATTGTCCAACATAGCCTCGCCAAGATTCTTACAACTTAAGGATTTATCTTTTGTTCTGTAAACCGAACTAGTAGAAAACAGTCGTTTTCTATTACCTAATACCAATGACAGCTTCGTCTTCTTAATAAAAGAATGGCTTACAGGATAGTTTTGAGGTTCTTTTTCCAACCCCCCCTCATCTCCCGAAGGGAGAACAGTGGGTAGGCAGAGACCGGGTATATTTTCTATGTATACAGTAAAAGACAGTACTGTCGTAGAATCTATGAAAAATAAAATAACAAACAAATAAATGTTATTTAAAGATAGGCTAATAATACCTATATGTATAAAAAGTCAGGCCATAGATAATAATACTATACCTAGTAGGTAAAGTACTATGTTTTTATTATTGTTATTGGGATACCCAACAAAGCTTTGGGCTCTCAGGGCTAAATATCTAACTCAAAAGCTCTTTATCCCATAAAAACGGAATATTAGAGTTTGGAGAAGTCATCAGCTAGTCGTTGAACGCACATTATAAAAATGTTTCGCTTCAAGTTGACTTACTTTTATAAGTTTTTCTTGAAATTCACCCAATGTTGACTCAAATTGATATGATTTGAGGGAACTAAATGTATAGTAAAATCCCGCTAATAGTATTCCATAGGTAGATAAAGAAGAAACGGCTAACATGTAAAGTATACCCAGATTAATATCACTTAAAGCTAAACCAGGACCATACAAAAAAAAAACTTTTCATAATATAAATTTACTAACTTCTCCCCCTATTCATTCCCCTTGGAATCTCTCTTATTTTAATAGCACCTTCTTCTAACTTATGTTCTTCTTTCTTTACCATTTCCGAAACTAAACATCAATCTTTGAAATCTAAAGATTTAACACCTAATATAGGACTATTAATAAAGAAAGGTATAATTATTTTATTAAGATCAGAAAATTTTGTAACTTTAAAATCTATTGTATTCTCTTGTTTTCTTAAATAACAATATCCACAATTAAAATATTCTTTAATTGCAGTTAATAACACTTCATCTCTTTCATGCTGAGTTATTTTAAACAATAGAGATTTAAAGATACCTTTGTCTAAGGAAACAGAGAAATTACCTTCACCACTTGTAAATCCTGCTACTCAATCTGAATGAGGGATTACACAGGTTTCTCTTCCTTTTTTTTTATTTTTTTTTTTATGAAAATAAAATATATATATATAAAATATATTATAATAATAAAAAAAAATAAAAAAGAAGGAGGACGGGGAACTGGAATAGTTTCAGGGAACATTAACTGTAATTCTTTGGATAAACCCAAATTTAAGGTTGCTCTTATGTTTATAATCTTTTGTAAACCTTCTAAAGTGTTGTGTTCTTTCAATTGCATAATAGATACAATTTGCTTAAATAATCACCTCTTTTTAGAGAAATTAAAGGATATTTATAAAAAAATTTAACTAATTCTATTAGCTCCTTAAGTTTTCTTACTCTAAAGGCACAAGAAGATTGGTGGCTATTTATAGTCCCTCTTCCACCTAAACTACGTTGAATTGCTAATAAAAGTGCAAAATCTTTAACATGTAGTTTGATTTGAAAATTTAGTTGAACTTCTCAACCTAATTTGTCAGAGGAACTTTTTATAACACTACAAGAAAAACAACCCAATAAAAAAAGAAAAAAAAAAAAATAAATATAAAAATAAAAATAAATATAAATAAAAAAATACATTCTATTCTTTTTTTATAGGGCATCGCTAAACCCTGTGATAAATCAAGGACCAAGATGTAAATCGTCAATTTTATGCTTATTATCATATAATGTAACATAATAACGACGAGTATTAACATTTAAAGAATTAGAACCATTTAATGGTGAATCGTAGAAATTTTTATGCAAATTTTTTTTACCTTAGCTTATTTCTAAGCTCATTAGAATACATCTTAAATATATTACAAAAGTTATGTATATATCTATAGCCATTTACTCGTTGCTCTTTTACAGTTGCAGGGTAAGATCTAACAACTAGTTTAGATCCGCGATCATCCATTACTCTAAAAAGTATCTTATTTCTTGTTACCATACATGAGTAATTAATTCATCCACTTTTAACCTTTCGGCTAAAGCTTGGTAAAATAAGCTTTAGGACCTTCCCGGAGTTTGACTATATTACCCTATAATCCTAAGGTACAATTAGATAACCTAGTAATGAAAATATCAGAGTTATTATAGGACCAAGAAAAAATAAAGCCAAATTAGCTTGTGTAGGTGAAACATATTCTTTTAAAAGAAGTTTTAAGGCATCCGCAAATGCTTGAAGAAGACCCAAGTACCCAACAGCATTAGGACCTAATCTTCTTTGCATACTAGCCATGGTTTTCCTTTCGGCTACTGTAACATAAGCTACAGTTAATAAAACAGGTACAGTGACTAATAGAACTTCAATTACTGAGATTAAAGTAGGTAAATATAACATTTATTTATATAATATGTAAATTTATTAAAGATAAAATATTATTTTTATAATATAATTTTTATTTTTAATAATATTTATATAAAATAGCTTAAGTGAGAATATATTTAAACACATTAGATTTAAACTAAAGATATCTAAACAACACTATCTAAAAACTACCTATTATTTAAGAGTATTTATATATATAAAGATTGTCAAGCGTGAAAAAATATACCCCATATTGCTATGGATATATTATTCTTATCCAAGACTCGAACTTAGGTCTAGATATTAGAAATATCCTGCTCTACCATTGAGCTAATAAGAGTTAAGGGGCACTGCACAAGTGCAGTGCTTTTTGCCATCTTGGCTATGCCTCAGAAAAAACAAAGACATAATAAGTAGAAGAAGGCTGAAAATTTTAAGTAATAAGTAGAAAAAGGCTGAAAATTTAAAAGATATTGTGACTTCGATATAAAACACTAGCTTAAATTACTCATCCCCACCTGTGAAATCGTATGGTTCTGTATCACTCCTAATGTCACTGGAATCTTGTTGGAATTTTTTTGAAGGTTGGCCACTATATTCTTCTTCTGTTTCGTCATTTTTCCTTTTATTACTTGAATAAAAGGAAGAAAGAGAGGAAGTGCCTACATTATTAGTACCTCCGCCTGAAGAAGTCTCAGTACCTACTTTATTTTCGGCACTACCACCAGAAGAAGTCTCTGGACCACCACTTTCTGAAGAAATATTTACTTGTCCTACATTAGGTCTAGGCATAATACCTGCTTCTATACGCGAATCCATTTCTGTTTTTAAGGCTTGGTAACGATTCGCATGCAATTGCCCTATATCAGGGTCGCCCTCTGATTCCCGAGCAACTAACTCCATCGTGCTAACAAACCGAGGAAGCACATCCTCAGGCACATCCTGAGTAGGCATATGATTAAGAGCATAGTCGTCTCGGGATTCCGATACTGCTGAGCGATTAGAATCTGAACTATATCCACTTTCGTTGTCACTTACTTCTCTATTTTCGTTATCGCTTACTCCCTCGTTTTCGTGTGCACTTGCTTCCTGACTAGATGAAGAATTAGATGAAGAACTAGATAAAGAATTAGATGAAGAACTAGATAAAGAATTAGATAAAGGATTAGTATTAAAGCTATTAGAGACTGAAAACTCTCTAATTTTTCGATCACGTGCTGCTATAATATTTGCGATACGAGATAGAGACTTAGAAGTCAAAAAAAACGAAATGTTATGACGAGAATAATGATAAATTTTGTTGTGGTGTCTTTTATTATACATGATTAAATATTTTTTTATTATTTTTTCTATTATTTTTATTTTCTTTTTTAAGCTACGTACAATAATAAAAAAGCCATCATAAGGGCAAATAAACCAGTTGCTTCAGCAAAAGCAAAACCTAATATAGCGTAAGAAAATAATTGACCTCTTAACGAAGGATTTCTAGCTACTCCTAATATTAATGCCGCAAAAACAACCCCAATTCCTACACCTGCACCAATTAAACCAGTAGTAGCTAAACCTGTCCCTATAATTTTAGCTGCTTGTATCATTTTTATCTACATTTAATTATAATTTAAGAAAAATTCTTATGGCATATTACAGGGCTAAAACATATTTAGCCTTTGTTTTAGTTGTTAGTTCATCTATATATTTATAATTATTAAAATACATGGAACTATTAAACTTATTCAATTTTATTTATAGTATATATGTTGTATATAATAGATATAGCATATATACAGAGATATGGGGGAATTGAACCCCTAATTTAAGATCTCAGATCCAAATATAGAACCATCTACAGCATATTCCTTAATAGGGGTTTTATTATTTTAGTGCTAAAATAATAAAGCCCATATTTTTTGCCGTCTTGGCTATGCCTCAGAAAAGATCTCTTTATATATAATAAATATATAATAAATAGAAAAAGCTAACAATAGCTATTATAAGTATTTTATAACAAGTATTCTAATTCGGCAACACTAGATATTGACGTAGTGTATTGACAATTTAAAACAGCTCAATACACATTAATTAAAACTTTGTCAGTCATGTAATAGTGTATAATTGACTTGATTAGCATGGCCTGAAATATCTAATCTGAGCGTGTTATCTGGTATAATTAGTATGGTATTAATTTTATCCTCTAGATTTAACCGATAACATTAAGTATATTAAGATTAAAAAAAAAAAAGAAATATAGGAAAATTATACTTTATCCGTAATACACGCACTAATGCAACAATTTGACATAATCTAATCAATAATAGATCAAACATAGATAACGATATTTCCTTTTCCCCCCTACCCCCTGTTCTCCCTTCGGGAGATGAGGGGGGTTGGGGGATAGGCTTATTATACAGACATGTACTCAAAGATCCTGTAAACGATTAAACTACCTAGATAAACTCTTAATTGTTCTAATATGTTAATAATATTAGTAAGGTTAGAATTTATGTGCCCCGTAATACTTGGTTCTATTACTAATAAATCCTACAATCTTAATAGTGCATATAACATCTGAAGGTACAAGTAAGCTTAAAGGATTTAAGCTTACTAAGATACGGTCAACATACCAACCAATTCTCTCGACATCAAGACCTATAATGTTAATAATGCTAATTAAAGAACTATTTACTTCGACCCCGACCCCCAATCTCCGGAGGAGACACGGGGATTAGGGGTCGGGGTAGGTAAACACTGTAATTACTCTTACAACTACAGCAGGTGTAATATTTATACCATCTTTTATTAAATTAGCTATAATACTAAAAAATCAAGATTTAAATCCGAGATAGATATACCAGTAGCGTTTATAGTTATTAAAACTATAGGAAGACCGATTAAAATAAATATAATTTATCTATTTAACTTCCTTAGCAACCAGTTAAAAATAAATATAATTTATCTATTTTATCTACTTGGCTTTTCTTTAGTTAATACTGCTAATTCTACTAAACTATTTTCTAGTAAACTAATAAAAGGCACTATAATTAAGAAATGGGCAAAATAAATAACTGTACTTATTTGTCCAAATTCTATATATGGAGACTCAACGTGTTTAGCTCCTAATACCATTAATATTAAGAAGTTAGCAATAAAGATATAGAAAGCTATTTTACTTAAAGGTCTAAATTGTATACCTCTACTTCTACTTAAATCAGTAAAAGGCATAGCTAATAGTATTAAAATAGCACTTAACATAGCAATAACACCTAATAGTTTATTAGGTATAGATCTTAGTATAGCATAGAATGGAAGTAGGTATCATTCCGGAACTATAGCTGGTGGTGTTTGCATTGGATTAGCCATTATATAATTATCACTATCTCCTAATACGTTAGGCATAAAGAATACAAATATACTTAATATTATTATAAATAAAAATATAGTTATTAAATCTTTAAATAAGAAATAAGGAGCAAAAGCTAACCTATCATAGTTACCTGATATACCTAAAGGGTTACCAGAACCTGCACTATCGTGAAGTGCAATTAAATGCATTAAGGCTAAAGCCGCTAAAACGAAAGGTAATACAAAGTGTAAAGCAAAGAATCTGTTTAAAGTTGCGTTATTAACAGAGAAACCTCCTCATAAAAACTCAACAATATCTTGTCCAATTCATGGTACAGCACTCATAAGATTTGTAATAACTGTAGCACCTCACAGTGACATTTGCCCATAGGGCAGAACATACAAAATACAAACTTATCCGTACAAACAACTTTAATTATAAATTAATCTGTAGAATAAGCTAGAATAACTTTAAATTCGTTTATTCTATTAGTTAAATTAAATTAATTTAACTAAAAGTTCCGCCTGTACATTAAGCATCATTTCAGACACCCATTAGTGACCCAGTCTGTCGCGACCTTTTATATGGCCGACGATCTTTAAGCTTA